CTTCCAATTTTGCCTTTTTTCCCCCCCCCCCCCCAATAAAATAATAAGCAGGTTTGGAGGCTCAAGGAAGGCCTGTGTCCCGGACAGCGCTCCAGGGGAAGTGGGGGTGGGGAAAGCCGTTGCTCCCCACGTTGCTGCCAACTCCTGCGGCTGGAAGTCACTCCCTGGCCTGTCCCTTTCTGAGCCCTCTTCTTCCTCGACCTTCGGATGGAGAGGGGCTTGCCAGGGTGGCCTGTCAGGGGCCTGGCTGCCAGAGGCTGTTTTGGTTATTTCCTGCTAAGCCACATAAGAAATCCCCCCAAATTGAGGGCCATTTGATAGGTGCTGGGCGCTGAGGCCAGGGCTCTGGAAGGACAGAAGCAGGAGCAGGTCTCTGTTCCACAGGATTGGCTGCGTCCTGGTCACTGGCTCGGCTGCACTTAGCTGGGGCTGAGCTGGGACAACAGGACCTCCTGCCCCCTGGGGTCTCTCTGGCAGATTTGGGGGGCTTCGTACAAGGCAGCTCAGGGCCCCCAAGAGTATAAAAGTGGAAGCACGTTGCTGCCAACTCCTGCGGCTGGAAGTCACTCCCCGGCCTGTCCCTTTCTGAGCCCTCTTCTTCCTCGCCCTTCGGATGGAGAGGGGCTTGCCGGGGTGGCCTGTCAGGGGCCTGGCTGCCAGAGGGTGTTTTGGTTATTTACTGCTAAGCCACATAAGAAATCCCCCGAATTGAGGGCCATTTGATGTGTGCTGGGCGCTGAGGCCAGGGCTCTGGAGGGGCAGAAGCAGGAGCAGGTCTGGTCCTCAGGATTGGCTGCGTCCTGGTCACTGGCTCGGCTGCACTTAGCTGGGGCCGAGCTGGGACAACAGGACCCCCTCCTGCCCCCTGGGGTCTCTCTGGCAGATTTGGGGGGCTTCGTACAAGGCAGCTCAGGGCCCCCAAGAGTATAAAAGTGGAAGGTGAAAGTGAGTCCCAGGGCGTGGCTGAACTCCAGGGAGGGGGCTACCCGGGTGGGAACAGTGGGAGACAGGTCAGGGGGTGTCACCCGTGCAACAGCCTAGCAGCCTTGGGCCACACCGAGGAGGAAGACCGGACAGCGTCACCCCGGGCCCGACATGACCCCTTTGCCTTGGAATCTGACCGATGCGGGACCTAGTTCCAGCTTGGTCACTGACCTTCCTCGGGCTGGAGGCTCACGGCAGCCCGGCCTTCCTCCCTCGCCAACGTGCTCCTGGCGCCTGTGTGGGCGGGAGGGACCCTGGATGGTGTGAACGCCTGTCCTGGGATGAATTTCGTATCTCTCCCTCCTCCCACTCATGTCCCACCCTTGCCCCCAAGCCCTGCTGCCTGCCACCTTCCCTGGACATTCTGATCATCCCCTGCAGAGGCACGGGCTTCTGTCTACCGGGGTCCTTTGAGCGCCAAAGGGGTCGCGACCCACAGGTTGAGAACCACTGGGCTGGAGGCTGCCGGCAGCCCAGCCTTCCTCCCTCACCAACGTGCTCCTGGAGCCTGTGTGGGCGGGAGGGACCCTGGATGGTGTGAATGCCTGTCCTGGGATAAGTTTCTTATCTCTCCCTCCTCCCACTCATGTCCCACCCTTGCCCCCAAGCCCTGTTGCCTGCCACCTTCCCTGGACATTCTGATCAGTGCCCTGCAGAGGCACGGTTTTCTGTCTACCCTCGCCTGTCCCACAGGCTGCCTCGTGTGCCTAATTCCCTTTCCCCGGCACCTGCCACCTGAGCAGACCCCCGTGAGCCTAGGACCCGAGCCCGGGGAAGTAGGTGGCACTTGTCCAGGTAAATGAGGCAGGCTGACAGCAGGAGGCTGGCCAGGTGGCCCGTGGGGTGCTTGTACCTTCCCAGCTGGGAGGCCCTGGGCAGTGGCAACAGTAGCCACTCTGGACTCCTGCCGAAGTGGCCAGGTGCATCAGACCAAGGGGCTGGCTGGTGAGGTGAGCGTCCGGGGGCAAGAGGCAGGGAGGCCTTAGGTGGGGCTGGGGAGGGGCTCTCTTTTGGAGGGGACCCTCCGCCTTTGCAGAGGACCATGCCCCTTGGTCTCCTTTTCCCTCCTCAGGGTCAGCCCAGGGCCCATTCATAGGTAAGGCACAGGGTTGGTGAGTGGCTGGGTCCAGCTGGAAGTCCAGCTTTCCCACCAGCCAACACCGACCTCATCAAGGCCTCCCACCGTCCCCAGTGGGAAGGGCGGCACCTTTCTTGTTTCAAATGGAGGGGCCCCAAGAAGCTGCCGGGCCACAGCCAGGGGAAGGAGGGTGGCTTGAGTAGACAAAAGCGTCCATGGAAGACATGAGAAATGGCATTCTTTATTCATAAATAAAAACATAAAACCACCAGAAATAGTTTACATGGCCAAAAGGGGCATCAAAAATAAAATAAAACGAAGCTGTCAAAAGCAAAGCAAACAAAACAAGAAGCAACCAAGAGAAAAAGAACTGTACATATTCTTCCGAACGCTAGCCCGTCCAAAGGCCGCCGGCTGGGGGTGCCGGCTCTGCCTGCAGACGCAGCACAGACGCTCCACACTGGAGGGCGGGGAGCACCACCTGCACGGGGGTGGGTGGGGGAGATGGCTCCAGCTCAGGAGAACTCGGGGCGCAGGGAACGCCCCTCCTGAAGCTGCTGCTCCACCAGCCCAGCCTGCCTCCCCTCCGGGCAGCCTGGCTAGGTCGGGACCAGGCCGGGGCAGGGGCAGAGGCTCAGCAGGTGCCTCTCAGGGAGAGATGGCCCCCAGTCCCCACAGAGCTCAGTGTCCACATGGGCGGAGTGTGCCCTGCAGTGTGCCCTGGTCATCCCAAGTCCCCGAGGCAGAACCCCCTCCTTGCAGAGGGGGTGCGGGCTGCTGCGCTGTCTGCAGACAGCTGGAGCTTTTTCAGGCCAGGCAATCTTGGGGGCGCGAGCAAGCCAGCCAGCAGGAGTGCTCAGAGGCAAGGGCCCTGGGCCAGGCTGCCTGCTCTGAGGCCCAGTCGTCCGACCTTCCCAGTCCCTGCCAGCCTCTGCTGTCCAGAGCCCCGTCTGGAGAGGCTGGGTCTGTCGGGCTCGGTCCAGGAGGAGGAAGGTCTGGAGAGGCTGGGTCTGGCGGGCACAGTCCAGGAGGAGGAAGGTCTGGAGAGGCTGGGTCTGGCGGGCACGGTCCAGGAGGAGGAAGGTCTGGAGAGGCTGGGTCTGGCGGGCACGGTCCAGGAAGAGTAAGCACAGTTTCCACAGGGAGGGGAAGAAAGCCACGCGGTGGTGAGGTTGCTATGTTACAAGTCACTGATGCACCCTGGTGCCATCCTGGGGCCGGGGGCTGGTGGCAGCCCAGGGAGGGATCCAAGGGTTGGCTGAGGGCAGAGCTGTGGGGTGCAGGGCACGGTCATACCCTGGTTAGCACCCACCTCTTCTCAGGTGAGGGACTGCTCTTTGGGAGGGGTGTCGGGGTGTCTCCGGCCTGGGGAGGGGCCAGCAGCCCCTTTCTCTGGCCTGTGGGGCAGTCTCACTGGGAGGAAGGACTCAAGGCCCGGCTGGTGGAAATGGAGGGATGACGGCACAACACAGGGCATGGGGCACCTTTGACTGGGTTCTGCACAAGGCCCAGTGGCCGGTAGGGCCCTGCAGGCAGGGAGGGGGCTCTTGGCCTGTGGATTCCAGGTTTAAATCTGGCTCATGACTAAGAGCCATGGCTTCCAATTCCAGAAACGCTCCTCCGTCGTGTGAAGGCAGCAGGACAGGCACAGCGTAACCGGACTCGGGGAAGGAATGTGGTGGGTCCTGGAGGGACCGGGGCAGGAAGAGGAGCAGCTTCATTCCCACCAGGAGTCTGTAGCCGAAGGTCAGAGGTCGGGAGACAGAGGGGGACTGGTGTGGAACTGCCAAGTGGCCCGGGAAGCCCCTCTCCCCCGACAGACAGGCATGAGGGGCGGGCACCCGGCAAGGGCTGGCTGTCCTAGGAACAGCAGCTGCGGCTAGAGTCAAAAATAGAACACGGAACAGTCTGGCTGCCTGCTAGAGCTGGCTTGCTTCTAAAAAGACAAGAAAGAAAGAAAAAGAAGAAAAAAAAATTCTGAAACAAGCAACTGAGAAACTCTACCTTTTCTGTGCTCCCCAGCGCTACACATCCTGAGAACGGAGACCCCGCCTCCCTGGCGCCGGCCCAGCTCCCAGCAGCTGCAGCCTCTGGCTTCCTGACAGTCCGGCTCTTGGGCTCGGGGTGGAGGGAGGCCCGCGGTGGCCCTGGGACGTTCACAAGGCTGTGTCTGCGCCTCTCGCTCTCCCTGTCTGGGGCTCGGGCCACCGGCACTCTGGGGACCCCTCCTGACCAGGAAGGACTCTTGTCTGAACTTGGCCCTGGAGCCGTGAAGGGAGCAGGCGTGCCGCTGCCCAGGCCGTCCTGACCATCTTAGTGGATACAGGCTATTCTGGATCCAGCAAAGGCTGGGTTCTTGGGAAGAAAACAAGTTCAAAGTAGCCGCTGGCCAACTTAGCCAGGTGGGGAAGCCGCGCCTCCAGACCCCACCAGGAACTATCCCAGGCTCTCCTGGGCACAGCTGGAAAGCCACGCCCACCCGTGTCCCCGAGCCTGCAACCTTCCCTTCCCAGCACCTATCCAGGTATCTATGGCTTTAAGAAAAGTGGTCACTGAGATCAAAGGCCACCGGCTGCCCAGAGGCGGCTCACCGTGTCAGCAGGCCCAGCAGGGTCGGGTCAGACTACCGAGCTTCTCCCTCTGCCCCCTGGGGTCCTCGCTGACCGGGGCTACCCAGCTCTCCCCTTCTTTCTGTGGCTTGCCGGCACCGGGGCAGCGCTGATGTGGCCAAGCCAGCTGCTCCGCACCCCGCCCCAACCCCTGCGCCTCCTCAGCCAGAGGAAGAGCTCAGGTGATGACTGGGTCAGATTACAAGGATTCTGGTCACAAATGGCTTCATTCTATTCCCAAGGCATCCCAGTGTGTCGGGGGAGAAAGACGGTGGGAAGAGAGGGGGTTGCTGACCTTCGTGGCAGCCACCACCATCCCTGGGGAAGGGTATCTCTAAGTATTTGAATACAGGCCAAGGTGTAGGGAGACCTTGACCAAATGATGGAGACGCCTGGCCCATCTCTTGGGAAGGCTAGAGGTCTGGTGGGCGGCAGAGTGGTGAGCACTGCACCAGGGGAAAGGGGAGGAGAGGCCAGGGGCAGTCCCTTCTCTCCCCTCTGCTTCCCTCCCCGAGGATCCCAGGTCTGTGCCCGGGCAGGCTTCTCTCAGAGGCTCAGCTACTGAGCAGGGAGGAGGGGAGGGAGCCCTCCTGGACAGCCCTGCACCCTGCCTCCCGATGCCGATGCCGGTCCCGGCTCTCCCCTCCCAGGAGGCCCCTCAGATCTCGGTGGCTATGATGTCCTCGTAGGGGATGTCGGCCCCTTCAAGGTCAATCTCCAGAGCCTCCCCCGCCCCGTCTCTGTGGGCCAGCTGCTGCAGGGCCTTCTCCAGGCGCTGGTTCCGCTGGTACATGGCCAGGTAGCTCTGCTGTAGCTGCTTCTGGTACTGGATCACCTTCTCTTTCTCCTCCTTCCAAACCAGCCGTTCATGCTGGAAGCCTGAGGACATCTGGTCGTGGCCTTGCCGCTCCTCCTTGAGCTCAGCCCGCAGCCGCTCCAGCTCCCGCTGCAGGGCCGGGATGTCCTCAGAGAAGG